TATATATATATATACACACATACATACATACATATATATATTGTATATACATACATATATACAGTATTATTTATTTTGTTTAGCGATTTGTGCGTAATCTTAAGCAAGGGAGTTGTTTCCTGCAGAATTACATTTTTTTCCATAATGAATATATAAAAAGGTAGCAAGATCAAAAGAATAGAAAATAAGTTTTCAGATTCAGTCAGTTTAGGAATGCAATATGCTGAAGGAATATTCAAATATTTGTTAGAAAATTTTCTTTTTTTTTTTACATTCTTTTAACGCAGAAGAAACACTCGCTATTGTTTAGTTGATTACAAAGATTTTCAAAGCGTCGACGTTTCCTATATCTTTACTTAGTGAAAGACAGAAAGGAACGTTCTTCGAGTAATTCATGGTGCTGACGAATAAAATTATTAGAAAAGGCAGAGACATTTTCGATCCTTGTTACGATTGTAAATGAGTATATATATATTATACTATAAGGGTAGAGAAAAGGCGTGTTGCGAGATTGCCGAAACGTTAAATGGAATTTAGAATGCTTTACGTGCTATATTTATATTGAGATTATGGTAATTAATATTCATAAGTTGCATTTGAAGTTTTAACATCACTTTTTCGAAAGAAAAAAAAAAGAGAAATTTGCAAGGAGCCGCCTGAATGTGCGAATTACTACAATCACATCGATGCTAATTTTCAAGCGTAAAATAAAAAAATGTATTCTAGTCTTAACATGAAATGTATGGTGGATTTTTATTTAGTTTTTTATTTAATTTATTTGAAACTGAATTCTTTCCGCCTCTTCTCCATCATTCTTTCGTTCGTTGATATTCGTCATAAGCTCCCACATATGTTAACTTATTCAAGATTGTTTTCCTTATCGAAATTGTGCGTGTCGTACATGTCTTACATCTATAAGATTCAATTTGAAGACACACACGCATAGGCATCGATCGAACGTAATTGCAATAATTCTGTAATGATTTGTTATAGATGTAATTCAGTTTCTTTAATTTGGATCAATAAAAAGATTATAAAAAGATGAACGAACTTTTAAATATCCTATTCTTTACTGGATGTCGACATTGTACTCTTGAATATCCTTAATCCTGTTACCTCGTTTTTATTTCGATACAGTAATTCGAGCATTATAAAAAGAGCATAAACTTATTGACATTTATTTTTTATATTATACAATCTCAATCAAAAATCTTAAGCAACACTATAACAGATCATTGGCAATTTTCGTTTTTTCAAAAAAAATACTGATTAATATAAAAATTGAAAGTTTTATGCAATAATTAATGTAATAGATTACAATAATGCAACGATAGATTGACAATTCTCAATCAGTGTTCTAAATTTGTACAACATCGTCAGGTGTAGAAACGTGAATATTCGTACAAATGAAAGTGTATCTCACTATCTTAAAACAGATAAGCTGTACACTCACTTATCTCTTATCAAAGGTGATTCAGTACGCGCGTTGCATTATACAGTTCACTATAACGATTAGACCTGTTCTTTTATTTCTCATCTATTGACCTTTTTCGGGAGAAAAATGTGCTCGAGAAAATTTGTGTGTTATTTAACTATAGCTTTACGTAAGTAACGTTTAATTTTAATATGCAAAAAGTGTCGATAAACTCATTTATAATCGATAATAGAAATTAAGATGATTATGTTCTATTTTTCATACCATTTACATTATAGAAACCGTTGCTGATTGATCAAAAATAATTACCGAGTTTTATCAGAATGAGTAATCATCCTTAACATTTACCATCCTAAATGAGAATTTAATCATTTTTATCAAATTAATATGATAATGTCGCAATTATTTTTGTCAACTAAATCTTAACATTACACAATATAACACACAAAAAATCATAAATTCCATATATAAATGAATTAATCCCTTTTTCACTTTCCGAATAACAAATAGTTCTAATGGGAATATTCCTGGAGGAAGTCGAGGCAAGACGCAAAATTTTGAGGGGCCGAAAAACAATAACCAGACGTTATTACAGTAAGTGGGATAAGAAGAACGCAAACGTATTATCAAAATCGCGGAAGTCTGAATATGTTAAATAATTTTTAGGAGGTACGGCTATACCGGCCTGGGCTATAGTACTTCTAACGGGTATCGGTATGCTGCTACTCGGCGGTGGACTTTACGCATTATTACAGAAATTCGTGGTGGATGCCGCGGATACCGGGGAGGGTATTAATTCCTATACACCTGCGTTACAGCTCACGAGTTGAGTCAATTTTCCACAAAATCTCTAATAATCCTTATTTATCGCTATACTGAATTATCAATATCATAAATTATGTATATGTAGAATTAAAAAAAAAACTTTTTGCAGAAATACAATGACATTGTGGTCTTATTTTATTAATCCTGCAGTCTTATTTTGTTTATTATCCTTTGCCTTTGCAGGGAATCTATTTATTTTCTTCTTTTAATAGGTTTATCAAATTATCACTTATCACTGTTCATTTTATATTAACGATCAAATGTATTTATTATTATTACACATGTTCATACTCGTGTCTTTAAAGCGAAGAAAACGTAATCACACGATTGTGTATTGGAATTTTTGCCGGTGTTGCGATATTCAATTCTTACAATTCTAATCGCTTGCCGCTAAATGCGACAAATTTCTTATTATTATCATCAATTATTCATTGGTAAATGTATAATTCTCTCGAAATACGTTTAGATTATTCAAATACCACATATACAATGTATTATATATATATATATATATATATATAATTAAATGGTATGAAAAGAGAATTCTACAGTTTAGAATTCTCTACGATGATACTTGTCGGGATCGAAATACGATGTAACTACAACACGATTATTAAACTTTCGGCCCGTAAGAGTCTGTTGCGCCTTTTGACAGTCAATCACGCTATTGAATTCTACGAATACCTGTAACAGAACAAAAAGTGATAAATAATATGTAGAAGCATTGTGTCGATATTAAGTACCTTGCCGCAGCCAGGAACGTCAACACCCTCAATGGGTCTAGGAATCTCCACAGATCGGACAACTCCGTATTTGTTACACTCTTCTTTAATATCCTCCAGAATATCCTCGTACTCTTCTTCTTCCATCAGCTCTTCTGGCGTGACCATATTGAGCAAACAAAGCACCTGAAAGATATTGTACAATTATAAATATTAATTTACGTCATTTGCGAAAATAATTTCGTTCGATTTAGCTCTTACTTCAGTCGCAGGTCCGCTCGTGCCAACCATTGACAAACCAGGCACTTGAATTTGTACTGGAGCTTGCGCGCCTATCATAGGATTTTTAGCACCAACGCTGGCGCGTTGTACGATTAATTTCTTGTCGCCCAGTTGCATTCCATTCAAACCGGCGATCGCCTGGTCAGTCATCGAAACATCTACATATTCACAGAATGCATATCCTTTGGAAAGACCGGTCGCGGAATCCTTCACTAGATTGAACGCCCTCAGTTGTCCAAAGCTCATCAATAGTTCTTTCACCTGTATTATCATGAAAAATATTATTCTCTCACTCGCGTAATAAAGTTTTCGAATCTATAAAACGTAGACAATGCAACTATGATAAATATTAATCGCAAAAATTTTTACTTTTAATTAGATGAAGATTATCAAATATAAAAATTTATGTATAAAATATTAAAAATCTTTTTTTACATTAGATATAATCTAATTTTACAAAATTAAATAAATTTAATAATTATCTTTGTTATATTAAGTTACATCAAAATAAAATAAGGATTTTAAAAGATTTTTACAATAGCTTTAAAAAAAGAAGAAAAGAAGATATTGCAATTAATGATTTAATTGGATTTCTAACCAATTATCTACAGAATAATATGAGAAAAAAAAGTTGCATAGTCTAAATATGAGAAAAACAAAATATGAATGCATAGATGCTTGCGTATTTTAATCACTCTTTCCTCGGTGGTAACTCCTTACACACCGCCCTCATGTCCGACGAAACTATTTCCACTTAATTGCACTCCGACGTCTTTCCTTATATACGTTCATTATTTCAAATACCGATCTCTGTGTATGTCTTTGATATTTTTTAATTATAATATATATATATATATATATATTAAATTTACTTACATCTCCACGGGCTGGGAAACTGAAAACTCAAAATTTTAGATAACAGCATGTTGCTCTTATTAAAGAATTTCTTTTTTTTTTTGCGAACTTGATTCTGATAATTAACTAATTACTCGGCGCGATTTAGTAGATTAAGCAACATGCTTTTATTGATGTGAAACTATTGAATCAGAGAACGCACCATTGGCACAGGAGAACCGAGAACACATCGAGGAAGGGGGGCTACAAAATTGTCGCATAAACCCAATGTACGAAGGCATGAGAATGGTATAAGTACTTGCCTCGAGGGACTGGACTTAGCCTCTCTCCAGGCAGTGTGGTATTTTGTCATGTTCGGTAGTAGTAGTGGTAGAAGTAGTGGTAGAAGTAGTGGTAGTGGTAAGCGAATGCTTTTGATCGGCGCGACCCTAAGCTAAGAAATGGGGAGAAAGGGTACTGGTATCAGTCCATAGTTTACTACATAATAACGAGACGTTCATATTCTTTTTTTTTACTCTCTTACGAATTTAAACATAGTTCATTTGTACGAATACCGTTACATTTAACTTCTTAATGTCCAATGAAATTGCCATTTCTTTTTTATTAATATTTTCCGTTTTTCTTTGCATTGTCATTTTTTGTTCAAATTCTCAATGCATCGATATATTCGAAGATCATTCGTTCGCGGTAACCTGTAAACGTAACGAGGCACAAGACGAGACGTGCAGTAAAGCCTGAAAAGCCTGTAAAAAGAATAGCTGCAAAAAGGAAAAAATATTTCCTGAAAAGAATGTATACCGGAGAACTTGGAGCTGTTACCAGATGCACATAAAATTATGTGTTGACCCTGTAATCCCAAAAAAAGAAAGAAAAGGAAAAAAAAACTGCTACATGTAAAAACGTTGATCTTATGCTTTTCTTGTAGACCTAAAAAAGATCCATTTTTGCAACATGTATCATTGCTGCACAAAAGTGGATGACTCTGTAAAAGCATTTCAAATTGGAAATAGAAGTCATAGACAGCTTTAATGAGCTTTTTTTCAAGAAGTTACACGTATCTCTATTTCGTTTATTTTTCTGCATCAGATTGAAACGCGAATGATCGTCTATTTCCTTTGTTCGATTTATTTCTGAATATAGAACAAATTCTTTTCCCCCCTCCCCCTTCCCTGTTGACTTTCCTAAAAAAAAAGATTGCCTAGATTTGAGACTCGTATCTCCTCGTGATGGACTGGGTCCGCGATGTGCCTAGAAAGGCTGTAAGAGAGAGAGAGAGAGAGAGAGAGAGAGAAAGAGAGAGGATAACCGTTGATGCGACTGCATACCCCCACCTAAATGCTGTAAACGCCACTAATGCTTCCTAAACTAATGCCATATTGGAAAGACAACAAGATGCGAGGAATGATAAAGGAAATTCCACAGGAAAACGAAAAGCGGATCGTCCGAAGATAAACGCAAAAAGAGCCACACGATCCGAATAAACACATCTCTACCTAATCAGGAACCTAATCAACGCCGAAATCTTGGTGGAAACGCATACATACCTCTGTTGAACTTGAGTAAGATGGGGGTTCTCGGTCATTTGTGTTTGTGTGAGTGCACTCACTGCTAAATAGCTAAATACCTATATTATAATTTAGTCCTTTGAGGGTAACTTACAACGCAACGGGATTAGTATACGCGCGTTTCCATACTAATCCCGTGGTTGTAACATCGCGATGCAATTTTTCGTCGATCATTGAAGCCGATTCTCACGATTGATAAAAATTTGTGCCAGTCACAGCAATGCAACTCAACAGATTAATGCAATTGATTGGAATAGGCGTCAATGGAGAAGAACTGCATCCAAAGGTGTGCAATAAATAAAATTATTTCACGGATTTGCCGGCATACCTGTTCCTCGTTCAAATAATTTGGTAAACCACCAATGAAGATTTTATGCGGAGAATCTGAAAGAGATAACACACGATTAAAATAAGTACAAAATTATTGTCAAGTGTGTTAAAAGTCAAGCCGATAGGCTTTGATAATAATAACATATAAGAAAATGTATGTTTAAAACATACCAGGAACCGTACCTGGCACGTTCATGCTTGGATTATCGGTCATTCCCGGCATTGGCTGATAATCATGTGGCCTTCTTATCTTCAGACTCTGCCCTTTGAAATTTATGCCATCGAATGCCATAGCCTGTGTAGTTTCATCTATCGATCGGAACTATATTTAAAGGATAAGAAGGAATAAAAAATGTTATCAATACTGAAATTACTTAAATACTACACAACTAATTAAAATGTATAATATATGTGTGCATGTGTACATCACATTTGTTTATGACATATAAAAAGTAATATAAATATGTATCTGATACATATGTGATAAGTTATACCTCCAGAAATGCGAAATTTTTGTCTAAATTAATTTGACACGCCAATACTGGATTTCCAGCGGCTTGTGCAAGTCCAGAGAGATGCATTTGTTGATTGAAAAACTCCATCATTTCTTCCTCGGTGACACCGAATGGAATGTTCCCTACGTAAAGTCTTCTTGCTTGGCGAGTTATAGTGCTACCAACTACAGGCACAGCTGCTTGTGGCGTATCTGCTACAATATTC